CGACTAAACCATTTGAAAATAACGTATTTAGCTACTCTTTTAATATTAATACATACTCCCTCCGTTTCAAATATATGTTGTTTTAGTTAAAAACGCGAATATTAAGAAACTGCAGAATATTATTGGTCACACAGTATAATTTAATATCTATAATTCAAAAAAAATTTCAAATAAATAAAGATATTACAGAATATTATTGGTCACACAGTATTCAATAAAGTTAAAAAATACATAAAATTGTCAAAACAACTTATATTTTGAAAAAAAAAAACTTCTAAAACAATTTATATTTTGAAAGGGAGGATTATGTTTTAGATACTTGTCTTGTGTTTTTTTGTATAGGGGAAACTAATATTCGATCATCAAATCTTGTCTTCTCATCAAGCTCTAGATCTGTCTCTTTGGGGCCATTTGGGTGCTGCTCAAAATGCAAAGGCTCCCAAATCGAATAAAAATATACAGAACATCGGTCGTTATTCTCTTCGTCCATCAGTATACAAACTCTGTCTTTCTTCTTTCTCAACTTAGGAAACCTCTTATTGCAAGAAGAATAACCCAAACCACAACCACCACAAATTGAAAGAAAACAAACATAAAAAGGCTCGTTCCTTACTTGTGCAACTAGGATTGTCTCTTTGGAGCCATTTGGGTGCTGCTCAAAATGCAAAGGCGCTTCCTTTCGTCGGTTTCAGGCACAAGTAAAACCCTAAATCATCGGAGATGGAATGTGAAGCAGGTGAAAAACTCCAACTTTAGCTCCGCCCTTGATGAGATTCGCACTTCAATCGATTCATCGGACTTCGTAGCTCTCTCGCTACAGAACACCGGCTCCTACGCCGCCGCGTGGCACCGTGTATCCGCCATTGACACCCCGGAGACGAGTTACTTGAAAGCTAAATACGCCGCCGAACGCTACCAGATCTTCCAGTTCGCTCTCTGCCCATTCTCCCTTCGCGGCTCCAAACTCACCGTTCACCCGTATGACTCTCTCTTCTCCGTTTTCTTCTTTTTCTCTGTTGCAGATTGATTGATTAGGGTTTTGGGTTTTTTGTAGATATAACTTCCATTTGTTTCCAAGAGATGAATTGAAGTTAGGAATGCCTTCTTATAGCTTCTCTTGCCAAGCTTCCCGTTTAACGGCCATGGCTAGAGAAGGATTTGATTTCAATACCTGCATCTATCAAGGTAAGGTTTTAATGCTACTTGTTTCCTCTCATTCATTTCTTAAGGAGTGGTTGTCTCTTATTGTAGTTTGATGGATCATTTTTACAGGAATTTCATACTTATCAAGAACACAAGAATCTGCATCCAAGTTTCTCTCAGGGAATCCGATTTTAGCTGATGCCATCACTGTGCCTTCTTCTCCAGCGACTGTAGCTGATACTGTCTTCGTAGGAAGGATTAGGTCACGCGTCAAGAATTGGAGACAATCTTGTTTAGATACGACATCAAAGACAGAAGATGGTGCATTTGCGAGTGTTAGACAATTTCATATGTATCTCTTTTGCCTTCAGTTTTCCTGTTTTTATATGTGATGCTTCTGTTTTGTTAATTTCAGATGATTTGGTGAGCTCTCTGAGGAAACTGGTGCTTGGGAGTGAGCAGTATGGTTCAAGGCTATGCTTGACTATTGATGTTTGCAGTGAGCGTCAAGTGCAACTCATCCTAGAGGTAGATTAACTTAGTTGATACTTGGCACAATAAACGCAGTGTGTATCGACGATTAGTGTGATAAATTTATACACGTGCTTCTGTATTTTTCACCACAGATGTTGACAGAGTTCTCTGACGATGTTGTGCCTCTACTCATTGCTTCAAAGAGCAGAGGAACACAAGCAGTTCGTGCTGTCTTCATGAGTTCGAAGGAGGACATGGATCTCTTTAAGGTACGGAGATTAGTTGGTTATTCATTAGCAAGAAATCCAGTGTGACCCATAGTTGTGAAGGTCTCTTTGC